ACACCTGAAACTAATATAATGTTCTATGTCAATTTTACCTCAATTAAAAAAATGTTTTAATAATTTGAAAAATGAAGACATCAAAAGACCTGCTTCTTCCTTGTCCTAATGTTTTACATTAAATTGAGTTTCACCAATTTGCCATTCACTACACTGACACCTTAACACACTCCCACACTGCCCGAAAAAAGTTAAAGATGTTTCCTGATTGCTAAGCTTATGCTCTGAGAAATACATCAAGTCCTCTCTGATTATCAGGCATTAGATCACACAAAAAAGGTTTGCATTTTAAATAAACACAGTCTTGTTTGTTTGTTTTAACTCTTTGATCCTTTTTTAAACAGGTCCAACATAGAAATTTAGCAACCTTGAATGCTATAAATCAAATCAACAAGCCTGGCATGAAATATCACAGAAAATTCGCAAATCAAAGTGAAAAACTCAACGGGCAGCTTCTCCCTGCTGGGAAGGATTAAGAAAGTATGACTGTCTTATGATCTGCAAATGATTATCTACAGCCATCCGTCTATCTACATAGGTCAGCACTCTTCCTTTCTGCACTAACAGAAAAAAGAAACCAAGTTACAGCCTAGCAGTGAGCTGGTGGCCCCTGTTCCTCTTTTGGATGGGGTGACAACAACACTGCAGCCTCTCCTTATCCCAGCACATCAATGCTACCTCTGCTGATTTTCTAACAGAGACCCGCAGTCCACCTCGTATCCCAGAGCCCCCCAGAAAGAGACCCATAAGCAGCTCAGCAAACTTCTCGAAAGCATTCACCCTCAGAATCATAGCTGAAAAGAGCAAGAACAGCAAAACTCATGAAGCTTTCCCAGTAATCCTTAGAAGAGAATTCTGAGTACCTGGCCCCAGAATGGGGTGATCTGGGCTAGGTCATCTACCTCGGGGTGCGGTAGCTCATCAGGTCTCAGGGATTTTAGGTCTGTAGAAGTGTTATTATCCACAGTCCCAGTTCTAGGATGGCTCTGCTCTCTCACTTTCTCCCTCCTGGAGCTGCTATGGCCAGTCTGGTGGTGGCTTTGCACTATTCTCGCCACCACTTTATTAGGTCTTCCGCTCACCTCCATGTATTCATCTTGACACAGGCAAAATGGGAGAAAAAACAAAGCCAGCAGGTGCCAACAGACGAGCTGCCCGAGCATGATTCTCAATAGAGCCACAGAGCCTCCTGGAGAAGACGGCCGGGGCGCTAGGCGCTGTGGTCTCCTCGGGCAAATGCCAGGGCTGGAGAAGAGAGCTGCAGCCGGCCGAATGGTTTTATATGTCGGTGTGCAATAAATAAGGCTGCAGGCATGCCAGAGGGAAAGCAGTCCTCCTCCCCAGGCAGAACAGCCCATTCATCACTTTCCCACATCACAGGCAACACGGATTTGTGTGCACAGCTCCCAGTTGGTGGGGTTCATAAGTGTCACACCTTGGCGTGTCTTTTGTAGTGTGGAGAAAACATATGCAGCCATCTGGAAACAGGGAGTATGTGTCCAGGGGTTTGCTTTCATGATTAGACATAGAAAAGCTGTGCCTCCGCCGTCAAAGATGCCTTTTGGAAAAACCTACCCTCAGGCTTGCCAGGAAATCCGGGCTTAACTGCATCAATTCTGTCTGAAATGGCACCGGGAACCCGTTCAGGGCAAACAGGGGAGCTCCTACACTCTCGCTGTGCGGTTCATGTTTCCCCTGTGAGCAGCTTAAAGTAGCTCATTTTCCCTTCCCGACACCAGCAACAGAAGGCACTTGGGTGACTCCAGAACACTGAGCTGGATTCAGGCGCAGAGCTTCTGGGTTTAGCAAACGCATTTCCCAGTCCTAGATTTTATTTCCTTTCCCCTTGGATTTCCAAAAGCCAAAGTTAAAACAAAGGTAACCAAGTCACTTAGTGCCAGATGAAGATACTACATCCTGCTTTGTGTTAAAAGAAGCTTGTTTGTCTCGGGCTACTCTTCCTTCTGACATATTCTTGACTGAAATCGAAGAAATGGAAAAGGAGGAGAAGGCTCTTCTCAGCTGCCCGCCTCACTCAGCAAAGGGGCCTGAGAACCAAAGCCACTTCCTGGCACATGCTTGCATCACTCCTGCAATTGCCAGAACAGCTGCCTCTAGAGCCCACATTTATATATTGAAAGGACTTGGTGCTGGGGATGGTGTGAGAGAGTGAGATAGCTATTCCGTAAAACAGAAGCTGTCCAGTTCACAAATGTAGGGGCCTTGGGAGCCATGCTCCTTCAAAGCAGGCAGTACCCATCTAGAGTAAGAAGCTCTGCTATCCGTTCCCTAAGTCCACCCTCACGTATCCAAAATGTCCTCACTGAAGGATTCTTTGTATTCTGTGCTGAGCACTCTTAGGAAAATACCCCTGTGGAGGGCAGCACCTCAAGCTGTTACCTGGCATGAACTCTCACGTAGGACTTTTTAACAGACCTGGAGCCGGAGACGGGAAAAGAATAGCACCCAGGTCCTGGGACAAGCAAATGGATGAAATATTGCTGTGGGAGAAAAGGGCCAGAGCAATGTCTCAGTGGGGATGCTCCCTATTCAGCGAGGCCTGGAAACAATTTTATAGGGAGGCCACAAAGCAAGAAGTATCTCTGAACTCTAGGCCACCTAATTCACAAGTTTTCTAAGAACTGTGTCTGGCAGCTCCCACAACTTGGACCATCTGGATAAGTGGCTACAAGTCAACCTCTTCTGACTTTCAAGTGTATTGAGACTTTCTATTGGTGTTTTCAATCCTTTCATCTAGTCTAGTGGTTCTCAACCATGGCTGCATTATAAAATAAACCAGGGAGTTTCTGAATCTATCCGTGCCTGGATCCCATCCCAGACCAATTGGGTCGGAATCTCTGGTGGGGCCTGGGCCACCAACAGCTTTTCAAAAGTTCACCAAGAAGATTCTAATGTGCAGCCAAGGTTAGAAATCACTGACCCATCCTCTCCTTGACTCAACAAGAATAAACAATAATAATAATAATAATAATATCGATAATTTCTTGAGCACTTACCATGTGCCAGCCAAGTATTTCTTTGCTTTAGCTCACTGACATTCCTCAGAAAACCTATTACCCCCATTTTATAGATGAGGAAACAGAGGCTCAAAGAGGTTACATGACTTGCCTGGGATGACATAGTTGAAAGGTGTCATCAGGATTTGTTTCCATCTGTCCTCCTGCCTCCTACTGAAAACCAGGGGGAAGACCAATGACAAGCTGGCTGCAGAAAGAAGGTCGGCTCCATAGCAGCCAGGAGGCCTGCCCACAACCATCTGAGGTCAGGAAGTTCTGAGTTGAATTGCATCACCCAAAAAGATGGTGAAGTCCTAACCCCCAGTACCCAAGAGTATGGCTTTATTTGGAAGTAAAGTTTTCATAGATGACCATGTTGAGATGAGGTCATTAGGGTGGGTCCTAACCAGATACGACTGTGTTTTTATAAAGAGGAAAAAATTGGACACAGAGACAGACACGCATACAGGGAGAATGCCATTTGAAGATGAAAGCAGAGATGGGGTGATGCATTTACAAGTCAAGGAACACAAAAGGGTGCCCACAAAGCACCAGGAGCTAGGAGAAAGGCATAGCACAGATTCTCCCACACAGCCCTCAGAAGGAACCAACTCTGCTGACACCTAAATCTCAGACTTCTAGCCTCCAGAACTGCAATACAATAAATTCCTTTATTTAAGCCACCCGATATGTGCCACTTTGTTATCGCATCCCCCAGTAAACCAATACAGAGAACATGTTGGGAAACTTGAAAAAAAGCTCCAGACCCCATCATCTTGCTGATGAGGAGATGGCAGTGGGAAAAGATTTAGCCAATTGCTCAAATTCACGGATGAAGAGTAGCAAACCTGACCCAGAGAAGAATCCCCAGCCTCTCAGTACAAGTCCTTGGACTTCCCTCCAGTACCTTCCCATGAATGCATCTGAAACCTCAGCTTACTACTAAATCTTACTTGGAGTTGTCATTTCATACATGCTCTGGCACTGTCCCTTGTTCAAAGAAGTGAATTAGTGTTGGGTCTAATTTCTTTCCCATGGACTGAATACTAAAAACATCCAGAATCTGCCCCAGGCAAATTCTGGGAGGAGCTGGAGTCCCATTTCTGCACCCCTGTCTCTGCCTGTGAAAGCTCATGAAAGACTCCTGGGGACATCGGCTGCTAAGATGCACTGGGGCTCCTACAGACCCTGCCTGCTCAGCGGGCCCCAAGAGTCCAGCCAGGATGTTGGCATAGCCACCACCATGAGCAGCAGAGGTAGGTGCACATGAACAGGACGTAAACTCAGCCCCGTGAATCAGCTCTGCCAGCCGGAGGCAAATATTTATTTAGCCTTACAAAGAAGGCTGTTATGAAATGTGTAGGTACCCTGTGGCCTCCCCCAGGGCGCTCCACTGTGGCCTTGGTCTGGCAAGGGACAGTCAAGAACTGTGTGGGATTGAACGTGTCTTTTATATCAGCGCCAACTTCAAGGGGAGCTAAAGAAGGGGCCTGTTTGCATGATTTTCAGGAGCAGTGGAATGTGACTCACCTCTCTCTATCCCTCCCACTGAAAAATTCTCCCTGTCCTCAGCTCTGTAAGTCCTGAGCTTCTAAAGTCAAGGCTGGATCCCTTTGATTTAAACAAATTAGAAGTGTATGAAAATGCAAATAAAATTAAAATACTCCCTGAGATGAGATCGTTTAGCTATATTGGTCTTTTTATATCTTGATGTTGAAGCCTTTTTCAGGTCCTTTCCAGAGAAGTCCTATTTGGAGAAGAATTAAAAAAAAGGGAACTCAGTGTATTCAGAAAGGACACTCTATCTCAATATCAGCTATCACCATTTGAAGAAAAACGGGTTGGTCCTTGGTGTAAGGGTGAAATTCAGTAAATCAATAATGCGATTAGACTTAGCTCGTTTGCAGCTTAACTCACTGCAGAGCTCACTACCTAGCCATCTATAATTAGACTTAGTTTGTTTGCAGTTTGATCCATCCTGATATTCATGTTTTCCCTTTGTTTCTCTCCTCACTGATTAACTGAAGAACTCTGTTCCCTTTCTCAATGCTACCCATATCTCGTTAATTAACATCCTAACCTGGAAAGAACAATTTCTTAATCCTCAGGCACCCGGACACTGGACGCTGGAATCCAATTTACAACTTCTTGTAGTTTTTACTGGTGATGCATTAAAATCCCAGGCTGTGATGGCCGAGTCTGAGTCCAGAGTCTGGAGATAACATCGTCTTCAAACAGATCAGACCCCAGGAAGGATGTCAGACCTCAGACCTGCCTGACTGACTCCCCCTTTCCCATATAAGAAAAAGCTAACGTGAAGTTAGGCGCAGCTGTCTACTCTCAGACTCGGGACTCTGCCCCGAACTTCGCCGCCCGCCAGTGTTTCTCCCCTTACAACCTGCGGCAGCCATCTTCTTTAGACACTGCCATGGGCATTCTCTCTTTCTAAATAAAAACTTCCTTTGTAGAGACTGTGAATGCTTTCACCTTTGGTGAATGAGCAGGGGTTAATTCCACACCATGGCACGTGGCACTAAGATGAGGCAAAAATCAGAGGAGGAACACAAGAGTTGCTGGCTAGTCAGGGTATCATCACCTTGGTGGAATTACATGGCTTAGGGTCTGATCCTCATTAGGTGAGTGCAGGAAACACATTGCTAGGCATAATCGGTTTCCATAGCCAAAAGAAGGCTGTCAGAGACTGATGTATAAAAACAGCATTCAAATGAAAAAATATACCCGTAACTCTCAAGTGGATTATACATGTTTTCTGTGTTTACCGAACAACAAATTCTCCCTGTAGGAATTCTACATGAGAAGCCAATTCTAATCAAAGAGATGTGCGATAAACAGGAAAGTGTGTGTGTGTGTGTGTGTGTGTGTGTGTGTGTGTGTGTGTGTGTGTGAGAGAGAGAGAGAGAGAGAGAGAGAGAGAGAGAGAGAGAAAGAGAAGCAGAATTTTGGAATTTGTTGGATAATAGAGTATTTTGTTTTGTTTTGTTTTTGTTTTGTTTTGTTAGCTGAGCCATCCTGCTACCTGTTGGCAGCTCAGCGGCAGCTCAGCTTGGGCCGTGAATCAAACCGGGGACCCTGTTGCTCAGAGCTCAAACTCTTGAGCGAGCTCTTAACCAACTGAGCCACTTGGCCGGCCCTGGATAATAGAGTATTAATGATAAGACAGGGAAATTGTA